AGGTACTCTTTAAGGTGATACTGGGGTCTTTTGGACACTTTACACTCTAAATAAGCTTTTGAAGTGCAGCTCGCACTTCAGTAGCTTATTGCTGGGCTTCAGGAGCTGAGCAATGATAGCTCAGCGACTGGAAGTGCATTGGCAAAACATTTTTGTTTTGTTTCGTTTTGATTCAGATTTTGCGTTATTTCGTTTTTCGGGATTCGGGTCCAAAAGTCAATTCATTTCAGGATTTGGATTCGGATGAAATTCGTTAGCGGTAATCTGTACGAATATTTGTTTACGTTTTGTGTTCGTTTCGCTGCAGCAAGACATTTATTTTAATTTTTTTAAATGTCACTTTGCTGCAATTCGCTCACAAACGAAAATACGTACAGACTACCGCTAACTAATTTCATCTGAAATTTCATTTTTGGAAATTCGGATTTGTTTTTATTTGTCATTTCTGTTATTCAGAAATTCGGATACATCCGAATCTCCGAATAACGAAAATTCATCCGAAAAACACATTTTTGCGAAACGAATCGCACATATCTAATACTTGTCACTGCCGGTCCCATAGAACAGGGAGGAGACACCTGAGATGCAGATCCCAAGCCCCCAGGAGGGGCAGCAAAGCCCGGGAAACACAGCAGGGGTGTCGGGTGGGGGGTCGGCCCGTAGAAGCGATCTGGCGACAGCTGAGTTGCCAGAATCGTTTCTATTGTAAGGCTGGCGACCGGCTCTTCAAATCTGAACAGAGAATTATCAGAATGATCCTGCCATGGGTCGTGAAGGGGTTAAAGGAGTACATTTGCATTCAGGTTTAAGGCATCCCCAAAGCATGTTATTTTTTATTTTTGTATATTTTTCATGTTGCCCTTTAAAAGACTCTCCCATGGCAGTGTCCAGCTACCAATGTCTTTTTTAACAAAAGCTTGCAGAACAGCTTTGAAAAAGGCCAGAAAAAAAAAACAAGATTTAGCTGACAGACTTCAATGGGTTTCAGTGCTATGCCCCATGCTTACAAACTTTTTGAGGTTTCATCAAACACCCAGTGTTTTGTTTTGTTTTTCACGATGTGTTAATGTAATGCCGAGTTCTTCATCTCTGTAGCCTGAAAAAACATTTTATTCATCTATTCATCTTTGTAGAAGAAAGATAGGATGTTATTGTGCTAACAAACTTGAATAGCACCCTTTTATTTTAATTTAATTAGGTAGAGAACAAAACAAGCACAAAAAAAAGTGTTTTTCCCCCCAACACCATTTATTTTTTTTAACTGGCACAATCTCAAATTTTACTTATAAGTGTACAGCTATTAGAGTTTAATTCAACTAAAGTGGGGTATACACCGTTCTATGTTGTTGTGTTCAACACACAGTCTGAATGGAAAAAAATAGAATAGATTTCTCCATCAACGCTTACAAGCGTTGACAGACGAATCCCCAGCTGTTTGCATTGTATTCTGACAGCAGCTGGTGGACTACCCGAGTGGAGCTAGCAGTTGATTGGCTGCTAGCTCCGTTTAGTTGAGAATTTTCCAACTGGCTCCTTTGATGAGCTGAGGGATGGCAGGCAGAAGGGTGCTGACTGCGGCACCAGCAGTATGAATTTCAGCTGGTTAGTCATGGAATGGATGAAATTCGACTGTCCTGACTTTACGCTAGGACTGGCTCAGATACATATCTGAGGCTGCCACATTCATTACCATTAGAGTAATGTACTCAAAATAAATTATGCCATCTAAGGGAAACCATGTATAATTTAAAGTTGTTAGAAACTGTTTGAAGACATACTAATGATTTTTATATGGCATCATTCATATAGGGATTATGTATTATCAATGAGGAGAAACCTTAATTACTGTTTTTCTAAATTTGTAGTTGTTTGGGAAATTAAAAGAAGCCAGTTTTATAGAATCTATGATTTTGGTTGTGTCTGGAAAGCATCACACTTCTAGGTTACATGGTACATTTTAGGAGTTGTAAATCTTCTCTATTTTAAGACTGAGGGGGTCTCACCCTATAGAATACCCGTACAAGAATATTGATAAAGGAATACAATCTTTCTACTCTAATGATTGTTGATTAGGGCATTAAAATGAGAAAGAACATTATATATGTATTTGCATATGTATTTACTTCAAATTATATTTTTAAGAATGCATTAAACTATCAATTTAGCTATGCAGGGGGGTGGGGCCATTCCTCCTCCCTTTTCCCTCTCTTCTACTAGTAGTCTGAACACTGGCTTCACACTCATTCTTTTATATGAGACCAAGAGGGATAGTGAGCTGCAGATAGGTGGTTTTCTGCACACAGAATCGCACACACACACACGCACACACACACACACACACACACACACACACACTTGTCAATAGACTCTTACAAGAACATAACTATACTTTTTTACAACATTATTTATATCCTGTAATCCCTATGCAGACTGTCAGTGCCCCAATGGGAACAATAACCTTGTTTAAAAGCTAAAAGAAGCTAAAAAGATGCATCACTAAGATGCAGCAGAAAAGTTTCCTCATTAATGACTAAACTGATAAGCATGGTTTGAGGAACAAAAAAAAAAGTAATGTTTGGTGGAGCTCACATTATCTGCTTTATAAATATGCCCCAAAGTCAATTAATGTTTTAGGTATGGTTTTGCATTGCATAGTTAATTGTTCAATCTGCTTGCTAGATTTACTAAAATTATGTGAGGTGAAGGTTTTTTAAATTAATCCATTAAAATTCAATCAAAACAGACAGGTATTTGCAATTGATAGTTGTTGGTCGATCTAGGATACGGTAAAATCACATCATAAAGTGTTTGCCCAAATGAACATTTTTCATAGTCCAATTTTTTTTTCATTGCTGTTAGTTTGGTTTATTAAACATCCATGTTTACTGATTTGCATATTTCATAGACATGTAAGCCGACAAAAAACTTGTTTTGTTTCTGATTTTTCGTTTTTTTGGGATTATGGTCCGAAGGTCAATTTGTTTCATTATTCGGATTCAGATCTTTCGGAATTTTAATTTTAATTTTGTATGAGTTAAATGATATTTACGAATGGAAAATTATGGCAGAAAAGTGACATTTAATGTCTACTTTTATTTTCTTTTTAACTTCTGACAGCACACAGGAACATGAAGCAATTGTTTTCCCCAAATAATTTTAAACAGCATTTAGGTCATACCAGACACTTTAGGACTGGAAGGAAATGTACGGGACACCCCAACGCCAAAAACAGAAAAAAAAGAGTGGGGTCCCCCTTAAAACCAGGCTACATGTCCTCAACATGGGGAGGGTGCTTTGCCATGGGGGGCATCCATATGTTCAACTATGCCAAAATGTGTCTAACTTTTAATTTGGAATGAAACAAATCTTTCCATAAACAACTTTTTATTTACTTCCAGTGTGCCTTTAAACTTACTAGCAAATTGTGCTTCTTTAGTCAATTCCCTAGGACGGTCCCTTCCCTCCTTGCATGTCATAGCATTCTTCACTTCTGGGAGTGTATAGAATTCACTGTCCATGCTGACCAAGCATCTGTTCCATTAACTTCTCTACATCATCTGTTATGTAGCTTCTGGGAAAGGAGTGAAGGGGAATACTATAGCATAATAATCCAAACATCACTGTGCTAGGAGTGAGTAACTGAAAAACGAATTAGACCAGCGGCAACTATGTGTGTAGGGGAATCTAATGAAACGCGTCAAGGAAGATCTGTCTCCGCCGCTCACAGCTGATATTTTCTAAACGATTTTAAGCTCGATTAATTCATTTATCTTGTAAGTGCAATTTATATATTTTTTTTAAAAAGAAATAAACTTTTTTAATTACTGCACTTAGAAGGTCCCGCCTTCTTTCTCCATTTTTTTCCCCTGGGAGTTTTTCAACAGGCCTTCGCCGTCAGTAGGGCGGTGAGTCTTTAGAAAACCCGTTACAAGAGGAGAAAACTATACCAGATTGCTGGATCTGGAGAGAAAAGATTGTGCCGGATCATTATAACCACAGACCTTTCCAGATTCTCTGGGCCATTGTGTGGTCGGACATGGATTTTTGCAGACATCCCTGAGGAATCCTCTGGTGAACGAGCAAACTTTCCACTCAGACATCACGGAAATAAGGAAAGTAATTACTGTTTTATGCAAACCCGCAATTTCTCTGAAATGACTGCTTGCTACATTGTCGCTAGGACTTAAGCCAATTAACCCCCGCAGTTCCCGCTTTGAGAGGAACCAGAGCGCACTGGGTTGCACCGTATTTTCTATCATTTATTATTTGTTGTTAAATTATTATACAGATTTATGTATTATATAAGTTTTTTTATGTGCCCTTTTTTCACTTATGATTAGTGATTATACACAATTTTTTTCACTTATTGGACTTCATACACAGTGTATTTATATTAATTGATCATCCACACATACACTGTTTCATAAAAATGTACATACGGATGTTTTTGCTATAAATGATTTGTTCAGTATGTCAAAGTCCACTATGCATATACAAACACTCGATTAACACCGAGCTGTGATTGACACGTTCACATACCTTTCAACAATTCATTCACTGTCACTAGTTGAGATATTCATTTTGTTATCTGCAGGTAATCTTTCCCTTTGTTTTGAGAGATTATTAAATTTATTCCACACCCACTTACAATCTGACCGAGCGCAACTTACTTGCTACACATTGAATACTATAGCATGTCACTTGAGTGGCAGTTATAAGTCTGATGGGACTACTAACATCACATACAAGATAGGGCAGCCAGCAGCAGGGCTTTTGGACTACCTAGGCAAGGGATGCTTATTTAAGACAAACAACGTATGTTAAGTGCACATATAATCTTATGGGAAGATTGTTGTTAAAATGAATGGTCTAGCGGGAGTCTATTTAGGCTGGACTTTCAATAAAATGGATGTCTTTGACCTGTAGTATCTCAACCTGTTTGAAATTCAGAGGTTATTATTTAAGAAATTAAAATTACAATAATTAAGAAATAGACTTACATCTCTATCCAAAACTCTGCCAGTGCTGTTGAGATATAACCTCTGAGTTACTGGATCCAGTATCACCCAGTAGTCTGTATTTTCCTTTAACGTGAGTGTTATAGTAGGATTTGATCCACCAGCAGTCCCTTTGATTTGCATATTGTCCACTACGATTGTTCCTGTTAAGACAAAAACAATACAACGCAGTTCAATACATACATTTTCACGTCTGCATTTGGTCCTTAAAATTAAATGTTAACATAGACTTATGCTAAAGTTGCCCTTTCGGGGGCGTGGCCAGCAGCCGCATGTAAGCAGTCGCATCTGAGACGAGCTCTCCTCCGGTATCCTGTCTTCCATTCTGTGGCTTACCTTGCAGCTCTCCTGTCCCACGCCGGCTTGTAGGTGAAGTTCCCCTGATCCTCGAGGTGCCATTTGGAGGGGGTAAGAGGACGTACTGCTCCGCGGAGATGTCCAAGAAGGAGAAGGGCAAGCTGGGCGGCCTCGCGGGCCAAGATGGCGGCGGTGGTGGTTCCCAGGCTCCACTCCGGACCCCCAGTAAAGTGGCTGGAGACAAGCTCAAGGACCCGGCAGCGCGGCTGGAATGCTTTGCCCACCACCCGGACACCCCTAAGCAGCAGAGGCTTACCTATTCAGGGGACCGCGGCGCCCGGAGAGAATCCGTGGGGGATCCTGATCTCTCGGACTCAGAGGGCCTGGACGATCCTGTGGTGACTGTGAGTACTGCAGCTAAGGCTGCTAAAGGCCTCAAACCTCCTAAGACCAAACTCAAGGCAGCTGAGCCCACTATTGCGGATGTGTATTCTGCAGTCCAATTATCCAACAATGCACTAAATGTCCTAACGGAGGAGGTGCATGGGATGAGATCGGATATTTCATTTATACGCCACGATTTGCAAAAAGTACGCACGACAGCCCTGGAGGGTAGAGTGAGTGATTTGGAAGACTCTTCTGCCCCTCTAAATGCAGAAGTCAAATTGGCGATGCAGAAGATACATATAAACTCACAGAAGTCCGATGACATACAGAACCGGCTGTGTCGCAACAATATACGCGCTGTCGGTATTCCAGAACGCACCGAAGGAGCTAACGCCACTGATTTCATTGAAAATTGGCTGTCCGAGTTCTTTGGGAAAGACTATCTATCCTCGCTGTTTGCTGTTGAGAGGGCTCATAGAGTCCCATCCCGTCCCCTGCCACCTGGGAACCCTCCTCGGCTTCTTAACTACAGGGATAAGGAGCGTATATTATTATATATATATATATAAAATAAAGCTGTACCTTTAAAGTACAGTATATGTAAAACCAAAATCTATTTTTCTGTATTTGGCATCATACCTTACGGCTTCATTTTGCTGAATCTGTTGCCAGGTCTTACCTGAGGATGCTGCCAGCATCAACACTTCCTGTTGCAGGCTGACAATGCTAAGCCATTGCTTTCTAATAAGTGGCCTGCCATTCTCAGCTGCATATCTGATAGACCTGGTTGGAGGAATCCTTTCATAAATGACCCTCAGAGATGGGTGAATCTGCCTGGGATAGGTTCACCAAGGGTTCAGCAATTCCTGTTTTGAAGTTCAAGGAACCAGGACTTAGCATGGAATCCTATTCAAGTCTATGGGGGTGGGTAAATCCTGGGAATCTCTTTGCTAAATGAACAGACTATACCACTTTAGTAAATCAACCCCAGTAACTAATAGTATTGAAATTAGGTGGTCACCATGAGAGCCAGGAAACAAGAAGGAGGTCATCAATGCCAAACTACATATTTATCTTTGTAATGATTTCCTTTAAATACAATTAACATGTGGATTTCTTGCAATTAAAGCAAACAATATGTAAATGAGCAGCTCCCCTGCATTTCAAATCCCTCACAATCACAATAAGCCTATGCAAACCCCCTTTACTAAAGCTATGGAAAACAGTATAGCTAATGTGATTGAAGAGCAAGGAATGATCAGATTTCATCATAGGAGCTTAGTTTTCTCATATTCAGACAATAAAAAGCTGAATTTCTGCACATACACCTGGCAGAGTCATTACAAAATTGAGGTTTTGTTGTATAAACATCCTGCATACAATGAATGCCTTCCAAAAATCATCAATACACACCTTTGTGTATGAACACAGCTACCTGATTATCAGTGTACTTCTTAAAAGGTCATACCTGTATAATAACACTGTCACTTCTAAAATACTAATAGCCTTTCCTCACTATGGATCATATTTCATTTCACAGTTAACATTGTGATCATGTTATCAGAATACAAAAGGAGCACTTCTGGTTAATTACTCAGAGCGTCTTATTAAATTTAATTCAACCCAACTATTCAACAAAAGTCCATACACATTAATTTATTAAGCTAAATATAATTTCAAGTATGTTTGTCTCCTACCTCTAGATTTCCCTAAAGACAATGAATAAAGTTCTTGCTAAAATGTTTACCATGCCTGCATTGAAAATGAATGAGAAATCCTATGTTACCATCTGAATATATAAATTCCCAGTTCTAATCATGAATGTATTTTCTCATCCTACAAGCAGAATTTGTATTTTAATATTGTTAAATGTCTTTATTTTAGTGAACCTAAAGTACTGCCCTAAAGTTTATCAAAACATGTTTTGCATGTGTACTCTATCAGGTGTGCAGCCTAATACATGGTACATTCCCATGCTATGATCCACATATGAGCATGCAGGGCAACCCGATTCAACACTTGTGAATGGAGGTTTTCATGCATACACAGCTGAGTCAGCAGGGCAGCCATCAGAAAGTTTGGGGCCCCTTACACAGCTTTAGGCCTGCCCCCCCCCCCCGATTGCCGCATGGTCACGGGTCACCCACTCCGCTCACACACACACAATGCCCCGTGCACGTGTTTATTCAAATGCAGATGGTGGGGCCAGGGGTTTGGTTTACATTTTTATTATTTTTTTACTTTGTTTTTACTTAATTTTTTTACTTATCACCTTTTAATTTTTTACATTTTGATGTATTTACATTTTTAATTATTTATTTTCACTTGACTTCACTGATATTACACAGGAGCCCAGCAACACATTATACAGCAATGCCTTGAGACTGTCACAGGTCGGCTCAGTAGATCGGGAGGTGAGCGAACACATACCGGGTTCGCTCACCTCTCGATCCTTTCACGGCTCTCTGCCGTGACAGAGGGAGGGGCTGGATTCCCCTCTCCCCGCTCCGATCTGCCAGCGCTGACTGGCGGAACGGACGGGGGAGGGGGCGGGTACAGCTGGCTCTGCCTCTAGATAGGCAGAGCCAGCTGTCACTCACACAGCTGTGCAGATCTTGACATCAATGACGGGATCCGCTCCGGCTGCGGCGTCTCAGTATACCGCGATCTGTAGCTCGCAGTATACTGAGCTTAGGGATAACGGGAGGACGCTAGTTTGTGTCCTCCCGTTACCCTAAGGAGAACTATGGGGAAAAACACTGACCCCATAGTTCTCCTTTAACTGGCAATTTTTCAGATTTGATTGTCACACAAAATATCAATTAGTTTTAAACATAACAATATTACAAACTAATCAATTAAAATTATCCACTGGAATTTATTGGGTAATTTATTATTTAATTATTAATCTTTAATTCAGATTTATTAATTGAGATGAGCAAGTAATGGTAAATCTGTTCTGCCAGTAATTTAGGGATGCCCCTTGTATGACATAACATAATATAGTTTTTTATATTATATTACAAGCTAATCATTTAAAATTATCTACTGGGGTTTATTATTTAATTATTATTCTTTATTGCAGATTTATTAATTGATGAGCAAGTAATGGGAAATCTGTTCTGTCAGTAATTTAGGGATTCCCCTTGTATGATATTAGGGTTGCACAGATACCAAGTACAGTACTCGGTACAAGTATATGTACCGATACTTTTGAGCTCCAAGACTAGACTAGAGAAAAATTCAGAAGCTAGGAGTCAGCTGTCATTTGTAAGGAGCACACGGAGCTCCTGGGATTTGTACATCTCTGTTTTAATGTACGATTTTGTTTTTATAAATAAAGGAATGCACAGATACCAGTTTTGCGAGTATACGAGTACTGGTACTTGCCAAGTACTTACAAGTACGAGTACTGATCCATTTTTGTTTATTGTCATGTGACAGTTTTTCTAAAACAATACAGACTAATGATTTCAGGACAGTGGTGGAGTGCCGGAGCCAGGTCCCAGCTGCAACCGCTGCAACCCTGGTAGTTCTCATGAAAATGCCAAGTATCTGCACTGGTACTCGAAAAGTATCTGTGCATCCCTATATGATATCATTACCCAAAAAGAAAATATACTGCATTCTTCCAGGGTTAAATCATAGCTCCCTATTAGATTCTACATGCTTCCTGGGGGTGGGGGCTGCTGCCACTCTGCCTTTTAGCCAGCTTTCAAGTCTGCTTGAGTGAATTAGGTTAACCAGCACACTTTGAATTGGAGAAATCTGGCTAAATTTGTTCATCACTATTTTATTAATTGTTAAAGCATATGTCAAGGCAAAATTTTAAAAAGTACATACTAGAATACATACACAGTTCCCCATGTTTTGCCCCTTTAAACATGATGAAAGTACAGAAAGATAACGGTTTATGTGCCAGAATAAGTATGCTCCATCCCTCCATCCCTCCTCCAATCTTTGACATGACAACAGACTTCTGAATTCCTAAGCTCATAGTGTCAGCCCTGCCTACTTTATTTCTGATGGATTGCAAAGAGCGTAGACCTCTCCTCATCTCCTCAACCATCATCATCTCTAACCCCTCACCTCAACTCCATAACCCCTCCTTGTGCACAGGAAGAGGGCACAGGATGTTATCAGCTCACAAGATTTGTGACAAAATTAACACATATTTTTGCACTTATCAAACAGATATAACAAAACACTTTCAATTGTATATTTAAAAGATCAAATGGAACAAGTTCATTGGTAGGGTTTACCAATGAAATGGAGAAGTTCATTGGTAGGGTTTACATACACATTAAGTATTTATTCTAATAAATAAATCTCATATTGCACTTGCAGTTCTGCAATATTAATAGACATTATCCTATACACAATGCAGGGTTTGCTATATATCAAACATTTTGCTGTTTGTTTCCATATTTTAGTTTACTGGTAATTACTAGGGAATACA